TCCATAGGGCGGCCATTTTCCGGTGCCTCTCTTGTGAAAAATCCATCCTAAAAACAGCGGGTGGCCATTTTGAGAGCCGCCGATCAGCTGTTTTCAGACCATCGTTAAGCAAAAAAATCGGTTCCCGAAGCAGGGAACCGATCATCGTTAAGCGAATTTTACCCATTAAAACATTGTTTTGCAATCACAAAAGCAATCGCAAAAAACTCATCGTAAAGCAGATTCGTCATTTAATAAGGCAATCGTTAAGCGAGGCAGCACTGTACAAAAGAATATCCCTTCAAGAATTGCATACAGGAGTTTCAAATGAACATTGTCAATCAACTTCAGGATCACATGGCCCTTAAAATTAAGGCCATGATTTCAGGATATAAATTGGAGGGAGAGAATATGCAGATGGAAGTCTAGCCCACCGGAGCAGTGGAAGGATCAGAGAGAGAGAGACTTTAGAATTAAGATCAAAGGAGGCTAAAATAATGGGCCTGCATGAGAGGGAGGGTCAGGTGGATGAGTTGGGGATTTATATTAATGAAAAGATTACTCAAAAATGTATACTTGCTTGATAGAAGAGAACTTAAAGAAGGAAAATGTGAAGGCAATGAGGTTGGAAGGGGTATAAAATTCTGGTTATAATTTAGATATATATGTGCATTCAAAGGTGGAACGATAATTACAGTTGGATTAAATCAGTAAATTTGAGAGAAAATTGTTTAAAGAGGTTCTATAGATGGCACTTTAAAACTGGTAAAAGGGGTGTTAAGAGATTAATTCAGGTTAAAATAATGTCAGCAACTTGGGACTTCTTTGTACAGGTGGCAGATATTCTTATTGAATCTAATAACAGAAATTGTTGATTGAAAGATACACATATACATATAGATTAATTTAGGTTAACATACTGTCAGCAATTCTGGATTCTCTTTTGTTTAAGTGGTTGATAAGTACATATTGTGACAAACCCAGACCTACTGGGATCTGCCACACGTTAACTAAGCTGCCACCAACCATTCCCTTTAAGAAGTCACACAAACCAGGGATGGATTTTCAACAAATAAAAGAATAAGGTTTATTTAAAACAACACACAGGGAAAATAAAAGGATTATGTGAATAAGATATAGTAACGTGGCTTAATTTATGTTTAAACTTAAATTTCAATTTAAACTTGGCACTTTCTACATAACAATGTGTACAAACCCAAAAGAAATATACCCTCAGACTTGGGTTGTTTTATTACCTGCGTGCCTGTGGGGTCATGAAGTTTGTACAGTGGTGCCTCGATTTACAAACTTAATTAGTTCCAGAACTCTGGTCGTACCTCGAAATGGTCATAAGTCAAAGCACCATTTCCCATAGGAATGCATTGAAATGCAATTAAACCGTTCCGGACAGAAAAAAAACCACCAAAAAACCCAACAACACACCACTGCAAGAACCATCAGAAACACAATTAATCCATTCCGGCTGAAGGGAGGGAAAAAGAAAAGCAAGCAAAGTGTGGGAGACCCATCGGAAATGCAAAAAAAAGCAAAGCAGAAAGCAGGTGAAGCATGAAAGACCCATTGGAAATGGAAAAAAAGCAGAGCAGAAAACAAGCGAAGCATGCAAGACCCATCAGAAATGCAAAAAAAGCAGAGCAGAAAGCAAGCGAAGCCTTCAAGACCCATCGGAAATGCAAAAAAAGCAAAGCCGAAAACAAGCGAAGTTTTAAAAATTTTTAAAAAAAGAAAAGCAAAAAAGCAAGCAAACCCCGCAAGGCCCATTGGAAATGGGGGGAAACCCCCCAAAGCAAACAAACCCCCCAAGACCCATCAGAAACGGGGGGGACCCAAAAAACAAACAAACCCCCCAAGACCCATCGGAAATTGGGGAAAAAATCCCAAAAGCAATCAAACCCCTCAAGACCCATCAGAAATTGGGAAAATACCAAAAAACAAACCCCCCAAGACCCATCACAGCACAGAAATATAACCTCCCAAGTCCAAAACGATGCTGCAAAACCCACCCAGAACAGTTTTTAAAAAGCAGAAAGTAGCACCTTAGCTTACGAGGCAGCCTGAAGCCTCCGATCGCACTCACTCTAATTGTTGAGGTGAAAGAGCTAATCGCACTCACTCTAATTGTTGGGGTGAAAGAGCTACAAAGAAGCAGCCTCTTCGCCTACCAATGGTTAGCAATTTGAATTTCCCACCTTTTCCCCCTGCCTTTTTCTGTTCATAGCTGGAAGCTCCGGCCACAAGTTGAAGCAAAAATTTGTGGCCACAGCTGGTTATAACTCGAAATGGTCGTAAATTGGGAGGTTCGTAAGTCGAGGCACCATTGTAGTTATGTAGTTAAGGTTATATATTAAGATCAATTCAGGTCAAAATACTGTTAGCAACTTTGGACTTTCCTTTGTATAGGTGATAGATAAGCATATATAACTTTTAAACTAGAAATGTTCATGTTAAATACAGTAACAGAAATTGCTGAGTGAAAAGTAAACATATGTGTATTATAACATAGCTATGTAATTAAGATTATATATTAGACAGTGTATTATGATAATAACTTTAAATTAAAAAGGCTTTTGCTGAATTTAATACTAGAAGTTTTGATCTGAAATATATATATGTGTGTGTATATATATACACACAGAGAGTGGAAAGATAATATGGTTTAAAGATGTTAATAGGGTAATATGGTTATGCAGTAAAGACTATATATGATTATATGGAAAACACCTCCCTACATATATGTTTGATATACAGTGGTGCCTCGCTTAACGATTGCCTCGTTTAGCGATGAATTCACATAACGATGTGTTTTTTTAGAAAATAATATGCACCGTATAACGATGTTTCCTATGGGTTTTTTCGCTTAAGGATGGCAATCCGTGCCTATTGGAACAGATTAACCGGTTTCCAATGCATTCCTATGGAAAATGGTGTTTCGCATAACGTTTTTTTTTGGAACCAATTAAAATCGTTATGCGAGGCACCACTGTATCTTGAATGTTTGTCTGTGATAGAATAAAAAATTAAAAATAAATACATAAATAAATGCCCTGAAATCTTGAATTTTAAAGTATTTCTAGCTACAGGTAGGGATACAAATAACAATGCAAAACTACAAACCACATGTGTTACATAGAAGCTCCACAGAGCTCAATGGGATCAACTTCCTGGCTTAATCAGGAACTGGTTATGAAATGCTGCAGTCGGTCTTTTCCACAAGTGTTTTTGAATGCTTTATTAACATCTTATATGGATGGAGACATATTAAAGCCCACTTTCCATATTAAAATTATTTACAGGCTTTTTGAATACAGTCAGAAAATTGAAGATTATGTGCTGGGAATATTTAGTGAGTCTGATTTCTTTCTTTGGTGCATCATATCATGGTGGCTAAGCTATGTCGCATGAGAGATAGCTGAAGTCTTAATTCTAGATCACTTCTGACATCTAGTACCATTTTGTGGTTGCATCTAGACATGATTTTTCTAAAAGATCCATTTTGAAACAGCCTGAAATTGTTTTACTCTGCCTACCATGTACACATGATGATTTAATCTCCTAAATAGCAGAAGCCAAGCTTCTGTCGTTGTGCTATTAACTCTGTTTGCAGGAAACAACTTAACCACAGTTGTCTTAAAAGCCAGAAAATGACTTGAGAAGTATTCTACTGCAGTCCTCAACTATCAATCAACTGGAAATAAACAACTAACAACTTTTCACTGTAAAACAATCCATTCTATCATCAAAAATGAAGTTATGTGAAGCAACCAGCTACAGTATCAGAATTCACTATGCAATCTCCATTTATCCATATAACTGATTGTTCTTAATGGGCCACAAGTCATTTAGATAGTTGGTATGGACAGCATGTTAAATATTGGCTATGGGATACTGGGATGCACAATCATTCAGTTTATGAAATTCACTGGGTGGTCCTGAGCCAATTGCATCAGTTACTGTAACACACCTCACAGAGTTACTGGGAGAGTAAAATGTTTCCATCAGTCCTCTGAATTCCTTGAAAGAAAGACAGGACACAAAGGTAACAATTACCTAACTTGTACAAGAGGCAGCTCTGTATTACAGCATGTTAAACTACCTGGAAGTAAGAGAAAGTTAATATATTGTCCTTGTGAATTTGTACATAATTATGATCCCAACATATTTATTCTTTGCTCTTTCCCTTTCTGTAAATTGGCTTTGTTATTCATACATAACTCCAGCTCCAGCACTACTAAAATTGAAGGAAAAAGCAACTGTAGAGTAGCATACACCATAATATTAACAAGGTTAATAAAGCTCAATGAGCTCACAAGTTCTTTCAACAGAATCAAATGGCAGCACAGAAATTATGATTTACTTGGCATGAAAGCTTTGTAAGTCAACAAAAATGTTGCAAATTAAATCGCACACTGTGGCCTGTTTAACTGGAAACTTAGCACATTACCTTAGTACAATATGTTGTCCCAAACTCAATCCCAGCCTGCTATTTCCAGGCAATTCAAAAGTATACTGGTAGGTGTCCTCTGTCAGCTGATCAATGGAGCTTATGATGAAAGCCGTAAATGTTTCTTGTGTTAGTTCTGAATTGCTACTCTGCAAGAACAACAACAAATAATTACTGTTTGAATCATTGTCCTCCTTTTCTTTCTACTTTTCTTTTGTTTTCTTCCTTTTTTAAAGAGAACTGGAGTATATTAAGCACTCGTGAAATGTGGTATACAAAAAACAAAACAAAACAGAAAAACACTTAGTTTTAAAAACTAAATATATCAGGTCTTAATTCAGTGGCTGAAATCCTATTTCTTAGCGTATCAAGTTGCAACTGAAGTAGGGCCACTGTATCAATGGAACTTATGGAGGAGGTAAAGGAGTAGCCATTGTTTATAAATCCAGCTTGGAGGTAACTAGGTGATCCTCGATGGTAAAGCCGGGTCTAGAGGCACTCCACGTGTCGATTGGGGCCAGGGATGGTATTGGGATTTTGCTGGGTTACCGTGCTCCCGCGATCCAGCCACTTCCCTTCCAGAGTTGACTGACTTTGTCTCCGCAGCACTATTGGGATCCCTGAGGCTTTTGGTCTTCGGTGATTTCAACATGCACGTGGGGGCAGAGCCATCTGGGTCAGCTCTTAAGTTCTTGGAAACCATGGCTTCCTTGAACATGTCCCAACATGTGAACAGCCCCACCCACGTGGGTGGTCACACACTGGACCTGGTTTTTTCTCCAGTTGGAGTGAGTGTGATCATGTCAGTCCCCTTGTCATGATCAGATCACCACCTAATAAAATGTAACCTCACAGTGGCTCTCCCCCCTCGCAGGGAGCAGGGACCTATTTCTATGGTCCACCCTCGAAGGCTACTGGCTCCGGCTGGATTCCAGGACGTCATGAGAGGGGTCACGGTGGACCTGGCTAGTGCTCCTGTCGACGCTCTGGTTGATAGCTGGTCCACCTTCGCAACCAGGGCTATAGACACAATCGCACCTAAACACCCTCTCCGTCGTAGAGCTCGTCCAGTGCCCTGATTTAACCAGGAGCTTCGAACGCTGAAGCAACATAGGAGAAGGCTAGAGCGTAGCTAGAGGAAGAACCCAACAGATTATAATAGGATAACTGTCAGGGTCACAACTAACCTTTAAGTGTCTAAGGTAAAGGGTGTTTGTCGAACTTACTTCGCTAACCGGATAAGCGAAGCGTCCAACCAGCATGCGGAGCTATTCCGTATAGTGCGTGACCTATCCAGAACTGGTCTGGATGATAGGTCTCCCCCTAGTTTTTCACCTGACCAGTTTGCAGCCTTTTAAAAATCTAAAGTGGAGGCCATTCGACAGGACCTCTCTCCTTTTTTGAACACAGTGAGTCGAGCAGAGATGTCCAGCGCTCCGTCTTGCCCAGTAACCCTTGATTCCTTTCAGCGTGTCATGCCTGATTCTGTGGCCAGAGTGCTTGACC